TTCAACAATGATTTTTCTTGCAAAAATAAAAAAGAAAAAGAAAACAATTTCGAGATTCTGATGGATATATTTAATTAAAAATTTACATATAATTCCTCACGTTAATATTTTCAACGCGGTACGATCGCAGTAGCATATTATAATTACAAAGCAAAGCGTTGCGTACAACAGACGCCCGTTTCAAATAGCTTTTACCTCCGATCACACGCATGATCGCTACTGGATCCACATCCATTAAAAATTGGTAACTCGATATCGGAGTATTGTCCTAACGTACTCGATGCACATGCCCGGAAAGTTTGCTTAGTTATGCAGCGAAGGCCCGAAGAAGAAAGCGATACATTTATTATGCATCTCTAAACAATGTCCTGGACGGGTTTTCTCATGAACGATGTTTGTTCATGCGCACGATTTCATATCGCGTTGGATCTTCCGAGCCGGAAGATGAAAAACTCTACCTACGTTGCAACGTGCTACCTTCCGGTGTACATTCTCAGGTAAATGTTGTTTGTATAATTCGATTCGAGAGAACAATAGCAATATGTAACGTAATATCTGAAATTAAGGCAATTTAACTTTTTGTAACAAAAGCTTTTTTATACGTTTGTGTGAAGAAAAGTTTATTTTAATGGTTTAATTATCAAAACTGTGCGAAACAATTTTATGTAATATTGTATGAAAGAAATTCAATTCATTTTTCATAATTTCATACGTACGTAGTTGTACTGCAGATTTCTGAGGGAAGTATGAAAGAATATGTAAAATATTTACAAATCTGCAATCTGCGTAATCTCAAAATAACAAGCAAATATTGCATTAGAGAACGATTTCGAATTCACATTTTAATTCACTCGATTACGTATTTTTAATGTGATTTATAATTCATCTTGTTGAGCTACAAATTAACAGTGTTTTTCGTACTAGAATTATTTTCTATTATCAGTAACAGTTTGTTATTCTATCTTTCATCTAACATGCTCTGTGCATGTCAGTGTTCAAATAACGTATCGTTTCTTTAAACGCAATATTATTCGTTTAATCTACTCTACTTTTCTAAAAATTTCTTCCGTTGAGAAACTTTCCTGACGTTCCCTGAAGATTTTTTAACTCTTAAATGCACAATTTTTAACCATCTGTCGCAAGAATTTTATTTATCGATAAGAAAAAAAAGTTGCAATTAGTCACAGTTTATTGATTCACTTCTAACCTTGCAATAAGACACTAGTAATATCATTATGAATAGCCTATTTGATGCCTGTATTATAACGTATTAATGAAATAAAATAATACGATAGACTAGTTGAAACATTTTTCAAATATAAAGGCTAAAACTATCTGATTTTCGTTTCATATGAAATTATGAAGAACGATGAAAACAACATTTTCAATCCTCTTTCGCAAATATCTACCATTCTTCTCGGTCGGGCAGAAATTCAATAGACAGAACTTCCGTTCTGACTTCCTCGCGAGCCTGATCGACTCTCGAAAGTGAAAATTACGATACGCAATTTTGAAATTCAGAGCATATCGATTACACGCCTCGGAAGCAGTCGTACGCCTAGCCTAAGCAGCGAAAGAGAAGAAGAGTGAAGAGGGAAAGAGAAAGAACGAGGAGCCCCTTTCGTATCCGGATACGGCTCCGCTCCTGTCAGTCGTATGTCAACCCTCGTTGTTTTTTTGCCGCGCTCTTAATAATTGATCATCTGATTACGATACATTATACCCCCCTTTCTCTACTTCGGTACACCGTCAGGGAGGGCATTATTCGTGCACCGAGGGAAACCGAGTAAACGGGCGAAACGGAGAGAGGAGAGAAACTTTTTCTTTCCGTCGCCTGGCGAGGGACGACCATTTGCATATAGGCCCCCTTATCGACAAATACACCGGGGGCGCCCCTCGTAATGAGGGCCCCCTCCCCCTGCCTCTCCGCGCCGCCTTCCTTTATTTTTTTAACGTGGACCGCCATTGTCCGTTAACTCATTCGACGTGGAGCAGCGTGGACCAGCTTCGTATATCTCCCTTCCTTCCTCGTTATCCTCTTCATCTTTCTATCGTCTCTATTCTCTCCGGCTCTTTCTCTCTCTCTCTCTCTCTCTCTCTCTTTCACTCGCTCCACTCGATGTTCCCGTCGTATTTGAACCGACCCGCGACGTTCCTGGCTGGGAACCCGCCTGTTCAAGAAGAAGAGGAAAAAAAAAAGTAGAAAAAATAGCGACAGGGAATAACAGAACCGGTTACGCGTCGAAAAATATGAATCATAGAGATAGAGCTAGAAGCGTGAAAACTTGTATGGGATTCTACACTGTGGCATCTGCTTTCCGAGATAGATAGAGAGAAAAAAAATGGCGGCAAGGGGGATGATGGTTGATAGAGCTTCGGCTGTGACACGCGATCGTTGTGTGGGACGCGTGAGAACGATCCTGCGAGGAGAGTCCCCGTGAAATCGTTGTAAATTTGTTGAAAAATTGTGTTTCTTTCTTTTTGAACAGTCTGTGTGATAATTGTTTACCTAATTTTACGACAGGAATGGAGAAAACGTTCACTACTACGAGTGACCTGTTTTATATTCTATTTCATGCTCCATGCGAATAACTTTTTCTAAATAATTGTAATTTCAAATTCAATATATATCAATATATAAGTAATACGAGAAGCAGCGAATGAGATTCTATGCTGTAACATCGGCCATAGCCAAATTCCGTGAAACTAAATATTCTACTATCATAATTTTTATAACCTCTCTGATCTTGAAACAAATGAACCTAGTAAAAGCATAGATTTAATTATTATATGAAACATCACTTTCGTAACTACAATATAACCAAAAACCAAAGAAATTCAACCATCTAATAAATTACGTAGGGTCAAAGGTGGATGCTCTGTAGAAAACGGAGTGTCCGAAAAAGAATGCCGGCCATTTTCGGGGATAGCAGGTAGCCGAACGTAGGGGACCGGTTTCGTAGCCTCGAGAGACCAATTGTTACCGACTTCGTTACACAACTGTTAGGATAATCTGCGGCGAGAATCATGAGCCATGATACACGTATGCAGGCATGTATAGGTGATGTCCGACTACAAGGGGTGAGGGCAGGTGTACCTTTCGAGAGAATAATTAATATTCAGCGAGGAAAAAGTGGGCGAGAGCCGGCGATGGTCTTCTCTTATGAACAGTTAGCGCGTTAGCAAACGGGGCACATCGCTTCTAGACACGCAGCTGGTTCTCACGAGAAAGGAGACTTCCAGGGCCCAATTATGTTCGTTTTGTCGATCGAGTCCTTACACCGTAATTGTTTAACATTTGATCCGCTGGTCGGTAACCTGGCTCGAAACTTCGTCGGACTGATTTTATCGGGCTTCTCGGATTCCCACTGTCTTTCTTCGAACTTTCGAGTTTCGACCGAAACGACGAAAACTGGAAAGACGTAAGCAAATACGTAGCACACGTACAATTCTGTGTGAAAATGTAAATTGATAAGGAAGAATCAAATTTTTAAATGAGACTTTATTTTTGTGAAGGTCGATTTTTAATATGTACCAACTAAGTACACATTTTAGTCTGATATCAATTGATTATAATTGATGGATATTATGGTAGTAAATTGTGCCAATAACAAACCAGTAAATCAATAAATAGTATCACAAAGACAAAGGTATCTGTACCAAGATTCATCAAGTTCTTAGAAATTAAATTACACGTACATTTGGTATATTATGTATATATATATATTCAGAATTGATTTCCTCAAAAACAAAGAATCTAACTCCTCATTTTCGTTTTATTTTTTCTATAGAAAATCAATCTTGTTCCATGAAACTAAATAATCTAATAAATGTAAAAAATAGTATGAAAACCGTCATTAAACAGCTATATTAACACATGGAGTAGTGATTCTAAAAAAATTTTTACTGCAACATAGAAAAAGTAACAGTAAAAATTAAGGACATACAAAAATCTCTGGAAAAAATGAAGTCACCCATGTTGAAGTTCCCTATTTTCACGGGATGGAAATTTCTGTGACGTTAATTGGAGAAACTATATGTCAAGCCGGAACGGATCTTGTAACACGATTTCGCGAGTAAATCGCAATCTACCGACGTAGATATCGGCAATCTTCCGGTGAAACCTCGGTAGCCTTGATAACGAGAACGCGTGTAGACCGGGTCGCAGGACGAACTGCAGCTGCAGAAAACGAGGAAAACTTATGATCAGATAAGGAGGAGAGCGAGAGGCGAAAGACCGGTATAAAAGAGTTAGAGAAAAAGAGATAGCGGACGAGGGGGGTAGCGGAGGAAAGCGGAGTACAAATTACGACCACCCGGAACTGGTCTCGTGGCCGTGTTAACTTTCGTCGCGTGCCTTCGGGAAATGCCTCAACTTTTGCAGCCACGTGTTATCATCCAGGCATTATAAACTTTTCATTGCCCAGTCTCCCCCTCTCCCTATTCCCTCCCCCCTTTCCTTGTTTGCCTTCATTATTTACGACACGTTAACGAAATTTACAGCGTTTGCCCTTGCACCCGTGTTCTAGAATTTTGTGACTCGGTCGAACTCGTAGAATCTTCGTTACATGCACCTTCCCTCGTTTCTCTCCAAACTGTGACGGATATATATATATATATATTCTTTTCTTTTATTTATTATAGTACAACATTGATATACCAATTCTGGAATTGATGATGATCATGCGGGGAAATTCTTAACGAAACACAAACGGAAATAAATTTGCAGAAAACTGTCTTTGGACAATATCTATTTACTATTTATATGGAATGATGTTTCTTTAAAATTATCTACAATATATAAAAATTTTATCGTTTCGTTGTAACAATAATAAGTAAAATTAATTGAAATTATAGCTTATGATAACGTATACACTGAAAGGATATGTATGAGTAATACTATTTATTCGTGTTATAAATTTAATCATTAGTATCAAAGAACGTAACGATTAACTATTTTGCATAATTAAATATCGTAACCTTTATCTCTGTTATTTCAGATATGAAGCAGTGGAATTAATTTATCGCGAACTGACCAGCGCTTACAAGCAATCGGAAATTGATTGGAAAATAATACACGATGCGGGATGCACCAGAGATGATACCGATCTGCCGCACCATGTTACTGCACCCAATGATCTCGATCGATTAATCAGCGGAACGTTCAGATCATTCTTGACTGCCCTGCCGGTTCCTCCTACCATCGTAACAATTGCGAGGTATGAAAGAACAGCACGTTCTCTTTCAAATTACAATGGAAATTTCGTGATTTCATCTGATGAAATTTTACTATTTAGCAACATTATAATTCAAAGAACTGCCTTTGCAATACGCATGAACAACATTTTATTAAACTTTCAAAGTCGGAGACTATGAGTTTACATTCTACAAAAAGAATTAGAAATTTCCTAGTTTAAAGTTTCTTATATTATCCGTATTCCGGAATGCGATCTAAAATACTCAAATGAATACTATCTTCTTTACTCGTTTAATTTTCTAAAAATATCACTGTCCAAACACTTTGCGATAAACAATCCAGCCTAACACAATGACCCACTTTCACTGAAAACAGACTCTAAAATAGTTTCGGACAAAGTTTCGGCGGAGTAACTGAGAAACCACCCCCAAATTGAAAACGAAGCTGTCAGTAAACTAAAGTCAGTAAAAAAGGAGAATGGCAACGAAAATAGCCGTCGATAGAGATCGTGCCGCGGAATGTTTTTTTTTTTTCTTTTTCTTTTTCTTTTTTAACGCGTGAAATTGAATTCGAAGGTTGTCGGTCTCTGTCGGAAGGCAGAGGAACGGACAGGGTCGCAGATGGCGTGGAAGAAGATGTTGGGAGGGTTGGTTGGAAATAGAGAAAAAGGGAGGATCGTAGGGGAGGCATGGTTGGGCCGGGCGAAGGGTTGGTTCATGGACGTTCGGCTACCATGAAGCCCCACCCTTCATGTGGGCAAGGGGTGGCTTCGTAAGGGGTGCACAAAATCAAATCCCCGACCTTTCGGCACTCGTTGTCAGATGTCTCTGTCTCCGATGTCCCGCGACAGATGCTAATTATTCCTTTATCTCTGTTCTACGGTCTAGTTGGCCGAATGATTAAGGCGAGCGACACGATAATCCGTTTCTCAATTTCGCCAGCTTCTCGTAATAAACACGCCACACGTGATCGGCCTGTGATTTATGAAACACACGCGCTAGACGCAACGATGCTAATGAGATCATCGCTAGAGAGAACGCTAAACTGACGAAGAGGCTCTCTTTCTTTCTCTTTTTTTAAACCACGTTGCGGGAAATCGAATTCAACCCATTTCCTCGAGCATGACACGATTATGTTTGTAGTATTGCTACTCGTTTACAGACTTCGTTATGATTGGATTTGGGATTATAATTGGATTTTTCATAAACAGATAGCGCAGAACGTTTCGGTGAATATGTAATAATTTTTTAATTGAAGTTTCCTTTATTTTCTCGATGCAATTATCTAAATTTTTCCTGTAAATACGATGTCGTAGGGCATTGTGAAATCTATTTCGAATTAAAATTACATATCTGTCAATACAGTCATTTAGATCAATTAATTTAAGACCAAAAATGTATCATATATAATATATTATATGTCATAGTAGTTCTTACAACGTAGCTTGTTTGCGAAAGTGAAATATATTCGTCGTGTCGAAGATAAGATGGAATATTCAAACTCTCAATTTCTTGTAGAAAAGTATCTAATAATGAAATTGTGCGATGGAAATGTAGATGAAAATAATGGAATAATCCGTAAACGGTTGATTTGGCGCCATCTCGTGATAAAATTAGGGAAATAGTATTCGGACTTCCGGCGGCAGAAAAAAAAATCGATTTCATCCCACTCGGCCCACTTGCAACCCTCGACGACCCCTTGGTCTCCACCCCCAGCACCCCTAGCTTCCGGGAAAGACGCGGGAACGCCGCCGGATGTCGCCTCTGGACTGCACCGAGGTTCTCTTTCAGTTTTAGCCAGACAGCGATTAAACAGAAACAAAAAGCGAACGCGAGTATTGCCACAGCGAGAAAAAAGACTATTTACTGCTGTTAAATGTGGATTTTTCTCTTTACATACAGCCTAAAGTCTTTAATTATTTCCATTTCTACCATACGCTTTTCACTCGATTTCATAATGTCTTCTTCAGTACTTTATCTTTCATAATTTGACTGCGGTTATTTGTGTGTTTGAATGAAAATACAGAGAGAACGCGCCTAACAAACATTCCATAAAAATTTGAATTTGCATAAATATTTAAATATGAACCGAAAATAAGATGATATTCTCTCATGTGTTGTACATGTGTATTTGAACGATAATAGATATGTATGTACATAAGTCAGAGAAAGATAGAGACAGAGGAAAGGGGCTGTAAACAATTTAATTCTCAAATTAATTTTACAAAATCAATACGAACAGTATAACGAAAAGACACAACGATTGAATAATCATCGTCTGTTTCTTTTACAGATCCAGCAACGACGACTATTGTCCACCAGAGAACGTCGATCAAATTCAGATCGGAGTGCTCGACGAGCTGCGTCAATATCTGGGAGAAGTCGACGTCCAATTGGCCTACGAGGACGAGGAAGAAGTCCATTGAATATCAAAAAAAATAACGATCCTTCCCCTTTCCAGGATGTAAATTTTAATCGAACAATGTTCATTTCAATACAATAAATAAACGTTTTCATAGAGGAAAAGTAGGAAAAGAAGAAAAGGGAAAAATATTCACCTCTTCCGTTTTAATCGTGTCTTTCCTCAGCCATTCCGGGGGTTCGATCGTAAAAATAAACCTCGCGGAGTTCGAGCACCGAGTAGTCGTTACTAAGACAACGAATTCTCGAGTGAGAGCGCCAAATGAAAAGCTCGTAAAGACCAATTACACTCTTTCCGCCGGGGCAAAGGAAACTAAGTCGAGAAGTCCGGCGGCGTTGTATCGAATCGATGGAATACATCAGAAGATCAGAAGGCGAGGAGGGACGCAACGAAAAGAAGAGAAAAAAAGAAAAGAGAGAAGAATGAAAACTGGCACGTCTTTGATCAGAGCGCGACGATTTACATAAGATCGGTGCCACTGGCCCATTATAAGAAGCGAGCACAATGCCAACCTGAAGGTTAGCGTTTCCTTTTTTCTTCTTTTCTCCTTTTTTGCACCGAGTGTACCCTTCTCGCTCTGTCGTGCCTTCGGCCGCCCATTTGCATACCATGGGCCAGTTTCCCACACGTCTTAACAGCGATCGTTCCTTCCACCTCTTTCGAGAACCTTCCCTTGTTTCCGTTTCCCTTTTACTTACAACCCTTTTCAGTCACCGGGGGCAAAAACGGCAAGGAACAGAGGAAAAAAAAAACGTCTTCCTTCTTCCAAGATGTTGGCGTTTCCTGGCGAAACGTTTCTCTCGAGCGTGGCCTTCGCAGCCGTGCCATTCAGATTGTACACTGGACGTGCGTGTACGTAGTGTGTATTATAATTTTTTTTTTTTTCAGGTATTAAGTTTCGAGAATATAATGGAGGTTAAGAGTCTTTGTCGGAAGAAGTACGCAAATACTGCGTAAACTAATTTCTCTGCACGATATTGATTATTCGTGAGATAATATCTTAATACGGAGGATGAAATTGTACAGCTCGATTTAAATTAACAATTTCTGTCTTTTCGTTTAAATTGCGTTGTCACGTTGGGGAATTGAAAATCCGCGTGAAACAGTGTTCCTAAATATTAATTTACCCTGGATTTTTGCTTCGTAATTAGTTTAACGATTACGGAAGCAAAATTACTCCAACTGCTTCCCGACTTCTACAAGTCTGGAAAAATTAAAATTTCAAGGACTACTAGATTATGCTAGAACTCTTAACAAGACTCTAAACTCTAATCTTGGAGTTAACATTCCAACCGCCTCCGGGATGAGAATGACCCAATACGAATTAACGCCCTGGGCGTCAAGTCGTCGGTTATTCGTCGCGGCAAGACTCGTGAAACGAGTCATTCAACGGTTAAAACGATCGTACAATTCCGCTCCGTTCAGCGGCAGCACGGCCCAGCGATAACGCGCGAATAAACGTTAAATGGACAAGGTGAATGCGGAAGTGCGGTTGCGGAGAAGGGACGAATTTTAAAGAACCGCAAGAAGGAAAGTTTACGAGCTGCCAGGCTCACGTAATGACTGTCGTTAACCACGGTGCGGACCTCACCGCCGGAGTGAACCAGACCTTTGTATGCTAATGACAGGGTGGTCCGATTTCAGCCACCCCGAAGTAAAAAATCTTAAGGGTCAACAGACCCATCGTTCGGCCGAGTTTTAAATCTCCCTCGAGTACCATTGACCCCGAATTAAAAACCTTCGACGGCGCGACCTTCGAAACGCCGGTTGGAAACTTTGCGATACTCGCTACTTCGCGGATTTTTCCCGCGAAATTCATTGACGAAGCACGGCTTCTCGGTCGGGCCCTTCTCGCCTGCGAGTGCTATGGTTCCTTACGCGTAACGAAATTAACTTCTGACGGTGGGAGGTGTTCGGTGTGTTCGCCTATAACGACAACGAGCTCACGAGACCCTCGGGAGAACGGTGTAACCATTCGCTCAAGTAATACGCGCATTAATATTCATTAAACTGCGCCAACTGTGTACTTAGTTAAGGAAGGAGTTTCCACGAGGCGCGCGTTCCTGCTCGAGTAACCCAGTATCGGTCTGTGAATCGTGGTTTTAATCTGTTAGCAGAATTTTACTCGGACGTAATATGCGTAACGTCGTGTTTGTTTCGAATAAATTTGCGACGATTTGAGTGTCATTTTATTTTATTTTATTCTTTATTTTACACCTGTCGCGGTCAAGATATTTACTCAATCGCTGGATTAAGTTGGAAGTTTGCGAAAATGATTTTTTTGGAGTGTTACAATGGAATATCGGTTACTCGAAATTTGTTCATCACGGTGAAATTTTATTCAATAAACGTCGAATTTTGGTCGAACCTCTATTACCTCAAGCATCGTTGCGCGTTTGTACAATTATTAGGAATGGTAATTCGCAGTTGGCGCAAACATTAGTTAAATGTTAAATTGACACGTGAGTATACCGTGTTCGAAATTATTTTCTAAACGTGAATTCTGATTATTCTGAATGGAAAATGATAGAGTAAATTGCTGTTGCATGCCATTAGCGCAATGCCATTAGCCGTAGAAACTCGAGTAAGGAAATATCGCAATTGGAGAAAAGATTTATTTAAATAAAGTTTAAGTAACGAAATAATTTTTGATACCCTACGATTGATTCTCTTCGCTGTACACTTTTGTTTCCTCGTTGGTTTCTTTTTTTTTTTTCGTTTCTGTTTTATGCAAATCGGATACGGGATTACGGTACCAGGGACGGCTGTACTTTTGCCAGCCAGACCTGGTTTTGAATAATTCCCCTAGAACCCAATGTCACGGTGTCACCTGGGTGAATGAAATCCGAACAGTCACGAGAGAGACGGAAACGCTTGAAATTGAGTTCAGATGCTAAAACAATCCTTTTTGTTATATTTTGTGAAACGATACCGTTATTACAGAGTTCAACGAGATTCTCTAAACACTGTTTCTCTTTACTTGGAAAATATTTATCGACACTTTTATCTATAATTCACTGATTTGATGTTTCGCCCATCTTTGAAAATTTTTCAAAATTGTTGTTCTGAACAACACGAGCAGCTTTAATCGTGAAGGATAAAAGAACGATTAAAATTAAATAAAATGTCAAACTCAGTAAATAGAATTCGAATAAACGATAATTCATCTCTAACGAGTAGAGTGCGGATTTCTCATTCATTTGATGTGCTTAAAAAATGCACGCTAAATACGTGCGATTTAACGTACGAAAATGTGTAAAATATTCACGGAAGTAGAACAGTTAGCAGTTAACAGATGAAGGATATTTCTATTTAACAGATTTACAACAGACGAATTTAAACAGACCATATTTCTTCAGTTGCGTCAAAGTAAAATTTGATTTTTTACAAACTTAGAATCACGTCTTTCAGACGAGACAACAATTCATCCGACAGTGAGGAGCCCCGAGGACCCTTTTCCCTTCAGTACCTGGCGATTATGCGCGTGACGAAAGAGATCTTCAGAGAGGCGAGTATGCTAATCAGCAGGCATAATGCAATATCGATACGCCGTAGAAAGCCAATTATAGCGTGTGGGGATCGGTGGCGTTAGACCCATATAGGCCGTTCTCTCTCGAAAAATGTCTCCGTGAGACGCATAAAGGGTCGCGCATCGGCGCGGCGATGCACCGGTGAGAAAATGAATAGCAAATGAAAGAAAAAAAGGAGGAAGAACGAAAGAGAGAGGACGGGGCCGCGCGATAGACAACGCCATAGGCGGAGACCTCGTTGGCCGTTGTTCGAAAGTGCTATTTGTATTTATTCGAGGCCTTTGTTCGAGGCCCGTAGACTCATGGGGCGGTGGGGTGGGGCGAGCGGCAAAAGGGAAAGAGAGAGAAAAAATTATTCAAAGACGAGGCAAAGGGGTGAGGTCCACTAGTCGTTACGGGACTATACGATGTTTCGGTCGAAAAAATAGTTGCACGCGCCTCGATACTGCGTCGCGCGTACGTTTTCTAATCCAGAGGGACGTTGTACTCTACTCTATAATAAGTAAAATCCAATCGCGTGCGTTTGTATAATTAGGCAGTCGATGGTTACAGCATCTGTAATGGTATTCGATACTAAATATAGTAACTCTCTCAATTTTAATTGTAACGTCTAGTACTCTCCTGACAATTTATCAATTATCATTAATTATCTATATTACGGTCTACAACGTTTAATTCTTTGATCATTCGAAACAGTGTCATTTTCGTTCGACTTCGTGGAAAGTTAATCGTTCCGTGAATATCCGAAAAAAAAGAGAAAGAGAAAACGCAAAGCCAGGTGAAAAAAAAAAACAAAAAGAGCGGGGACCGAGATACACGGACGTCCGAGCACGCAACAAAGTTAATCCCAGAAATCGAATTACGGGCAAGTGTTCGCTCCATCGTGCAGATTCCCGCTCGTTCCCATGTTGGTGCAGTATGCGACGACATGATCGCGCGCGCGTATGTGTGTGTGTGTGAATGCATCTCGTGCAGCGGATGCAACTGCGAGTGGTCAGTAGCTCGCAAAACGACTGACCGCTCGGTGCATCCCCTCGGCACTTTTCGATGAATCTCGCGCGAGTGACACGTCGGGCCGGCATGTTTTTCCTCGGGAGCGCGTTTCTACGAACGATTCTACGCGTGTGACACGTGATTGCGTCTGGCGACATGACCGATTCCGTAGAAAAATCCACGACAACTGTTCTATCGATTTTCAAAGGAAAAAAAAGAGAGGAGAGAGCAAAGAGAGTAAAATACAAATGTATATTGCTAGTGTTTCCTCGTGTGCGGGAGAGAAGAAAAAAGTGTGGTTTACAAATTTAATCATAAAATCCACGATGTAAAGTCTAGGCAGTCAGAGAGAGAGAGAGAGAGAGAGAGAAAAAGTACGAACTGTCGGTTACCGTAGTGCGATAAAGTTTTTAATCACATCTACACGGTCTAAGTTTGTTCTATGCGGGATCTGGCACGCTTTTCGACGAGAACGGACAAGTAATTTCATAATGTCACAAGACGAAGTTCTGACAGTTCTTACATGGTCGCAGGCACGGAAGGAAAAGTTCCGTTATAAGTTTTAATGGTACATA